ATTTACAGTGCAGATATTTCTGTCCAGTGCTCAGTTTCTGGGTCAGGCTAGGAGCCAGCAGGAGACCTTTTATCCTGGCTTTTGACACCGGGATGAATTTTCCCCCATTCCTCTAACACAATCCCTGTCTGTTCGGACATTGTCCAAGAAGATTCTAAGCAGAAGATCTGCAGAAACCAAATGCTGAAAGGGCATAAATGCTCTCAATTCTGCTTGACACAGAGGTTTGGGTTCTCCTTAGCGATGTCTTTGTTTATTTGCAATTAAATCGCTGCTAGAAGCTGAGAGGTGTCTGTACCCCTCCTGACCACACAAGTAACCAGAGCAAATAGCATTGCCTCCCTAACCCCAGCTGTAATCAGTTACTACCTCGTTATCTGCACAGAGTTAATTAAGAGACTCTAGAGACAATATTGCAGCTCCTGCCTCTGAGGCCTTTTCCTGCAGAACCGTTAACGAGCTCCCCTTGCCCTGGCTGGCTTGGGAGGGAGATGTCTCCAACACCACCTAATTAAAATCGAGGGCTGGAGGAGAGTTCCCCAAGTGCAGATGGGAAACAGGAGCGGGGACTCCATCTGCTGCCGGCTGCTTTTCCTCAAACGCTCTTGGAGGAAATTGGAGCCGAGAGGAGGAAGAGGAGCAGCACGGGGAGCAGGGAAGCCCTTTCCTGCCAGGTCTGGGCACCTGGGAGGGATTTTTACCTTTTTTTCCTACTGCCTGGTTATTAATTCCCCTGAACACTCCTCATTTGTGGCTGGCAATTCCCAGGGCATCCCAAGTGATGCAAGTTTTTTACCAGTGTGGGGAAGCATCTGGTCCCCTGCTATCTGTATCAGAAGGCTCGGATGTTTTTCCTTCTGGGATCTAGAAAGATGGAAAATTATCCAAATCAGATTATTTTTTTTTTAATCAAAGTTTAATCAAAAATCAAATCATATTCCAAAGCATGAGGAACTGGCAAGAAATGACCTTGAAGAACAACTTCTGTCAGAAGAAACAGCAAAAATGAGGGGAGATGTTAATTTTACTTTAAACCATGTACAGGCTAAACAACAAGTTCAGTTTTTTTTTAACCATGGTGTTGCCTGTGTTGTATGAAAAAATTGAGATTTTTCTCTTCTGTCCTGGTTAAGGATGAAAATCAGAAGTTCTTGATTAATTTTTCAAAGAGCAATTGGAATCTGGGTCAATCAGAATATTTGACTTTGAGAAATTTTACCAATTTCTGTTGTATTCCAGTTCCTTTTAAATGGGTCCTGTAGAAATGTAAATTAATTAAAATACAGGTAAAATTGGAAAGTAGCTTTGAAAGGATTTAAACTTCTTGCTTTGCACATGGTAGAAGGAGATATTTTTGTATTAAGGTTGTTTTATAATATTGGAGGGAAAAAGGAAGATATCTTTTTGCAGTTTCAGCCTTTCAGTTGCATTTCTGGTGCTAGGAAAATGCACCAGACAACGTGCAGGGAAGGTGAGGTGCTGGGTCCCTTCTCTGGGGCGGCCGTGCCAGCATCTGGCCGGCTCCTTGGCTCCTCTGGGTACCGACAGGGATGTGGTGTGAGCACATCTCACCAAACTGCCTTCTCCATCACCTCCCACGCGGAGTGGTGGCAAAGTTATTTTGAATCAAAGATGAATCCATTCCTTTCTCCCAACTG